CTCTGGGAATGTCCTGGAAGCATGTACAGGACACTGTCCATTTGTTTAGCACAACCACAGCTCCAGCCATCTCAGTGGTTATCTGTCTACTCCTTCCCAATGGAACTGAACAAGCAGAAAATCAGAATGACTTTTGTCTGAGAAAGGAAGGATGCAACAGAGCTGCTGGCAGAGGAATGGTAAAGAGAGTCCTAAAATGGGTAGGTAGGAAAGGGACTACACAGAGCCCCTTGCATGGGAAAAGTGAAGATGGAAAGCTGAGAGCTCTAATAATGGGGAGGGATCGTAGACCCGGTATGGAGGAGAATGTGGAAAAGGAAGTTCACAGACCCTGTGGTATTGAAGAGAACAGAGGACCCATTTATGAGAAGGAAAAAATGAGGGGAACAAAGCTCCTGATATGAAAGGAGAGGGAAATGGGGATTTTTCTGTGACATCTGAGATTCTCGCTTTTCCAAATGCTTTACTTTTCGATGGGAATAGGGGGTCACCAAAGGTAATAAAACTCTGGATATCTTGCACTTTCTTACACGAATCTCAGCTCCAGAATCAAAATGTTGTTTTGAGCAATCAACGAACAGTGATGGTTGTCCATATGAGTTACGTGCATCACGTTATCCGTCTCACCTGGGCACTAGCCACCACCACCCGGTCACTAGCCACCTCCTATCACGTACTTACCGTATTCTGGGAGCCTCACAAACTCCGATGGCTCGCTAGGCAAACTAATTCCCCAGGGGTTGCTGGCACTGACTCTGAACTGATACTGGCATCCTGGGGTTAGATCTTCAATGACAAGATAGGTATCCAACGTTGAGGCTACCGACTGCTGCCAGACGTGGGATCCTAGAATTTATGGAGAGACAGAGGAAGACATACAATGAGTTAACGCAGAGCTAGAACCCCAGGTCTTAAAACTGTCTAGTGCTATTAGCTGCTGCCATTTTGTGGTAATGCAACAGGATTATAAGCCCCATTCATGAAAAGTTATCATTGGGTGAGTGAAGCATGCTCAAAGAATTATCCATGGACATGTCACAGGAAGGAGTGTCATTTAGCAGGTAAAAATCCATGTTTTTTTTTAAAAGGAAAAGATGAAGAAACTGTATTCTTATTGTTATTCCAGGAGTTGGGAAGCTGAAGCTACTGGGTGCCATAGACATCTTCTTTGAAGGTAAATGAGAGGACAATTAAATGCTCTTTTGTTTAATGATAACTGACACAATGGAAAAAACACGTGCAAACCTGGGCCACTAGTGGACTACAATGGCCATGGATTACAAAGGGTTTTCTGGGGGACAGACCTGATTACAGTTGGGTATTTGTGAGTTGGGAGAGAGCAGCAAAAACCCCATAAAGAGCCACACTGAGAAGAAAGGGAGGAAGCAAACCCCAGATGTAGCTAAGCTAAGAGCTCCTGGGCAAAGTACTTGCTAGAAATAGGTTTGTAACAAACTGTGAGTAAAGAGACTATCCCCTGCTCTTTGTGGCCTATTGTGTTGAGGGACTCAGGACTTCAGGTACATTGTTTGTAAGGAATATTCACTCCATCACTCATTCCTCCTCCTAATGAAAATAAAGTGAAATAGCTCCATTTTGGCTCATTTTCTCGTTACAATTCTATCCCATTATTCTTTGCCAATGACTCCTTGGGCCAAACTGAAACCATTGATCCCCCTCTAACATATCATCTTTGCCAAGCTCCACCTATATAATACTTTTTCTTTTGTCCTTGTCAATCTATTCCTGTCGCCCTTACTACTTGTACGGTTGCCCACTGACCTCCACTCTGTTTGACAGCATCTTTCTGGGAATGAGCACGGCCCAGAAATGCAAATGGCACTCGAGGCTGTGCCTCCCCATGACCTGGCACGCAGACAAGGTTTCATGCCAGCTGTGAAATCTTGTAAAGCAATGTGGTTTTGACATGGTAATTTTTCTCTCTTTGTTTGTAGGCAAAGCATTATAGAAAAGTCGGTGGGAGAATGCCTTGTGTACTGTGTCATGTGAAAGCTGGGCCTCGGATAAGATTCTTTGAAGGTGCTGGTTGAGAATCCCGAGAACAAAGTCTCCATCCGTGGCTGTTGTGTAAGTAACGAGAGCTATAAATTATCTGTTAACACGTGGGATGTTTCCAGGAATCAAATCTATGCAAACTGATACCAAAATAAATTCCACAAACTATCCTCACCCATTAAGTGACCGTGGAATAGTGGGGTGAAGTACCAAAGGACACAGCAGAGCAGGAGGTAATGCAGTTCAGAGTTTTCTCTTTTTTTTAAAGAGTGGTCCATTGGTTGTCACAGCAGTTGCAGGGTCCATTTGGCATTACCATGCCTGTCCTGAGACATACTGGCTCAGCTGCTTGCAGCTGGGCCTACATTGGCTTCTGCGAATGCCCAGAAACCCAAATCAATGTTATCAGTAGCCTACAAGGTACTATGGATACTGGAGTCTTGTTTGACAGATCACAAGAAACAACGCACAGGATTCTGGGCTGCACCTCAGGAGGACCACTGAGCAAACGGCTGTATGTGGGGAAGGGAAATGAAAAGAACCAGTAGAATCAAGAATTATTATGATTCTAATAATATCTGGGAGGAAGGCATCCCAGCTTCACAGAGGATGATATGACACTATAATAAATCTTGAACCTCTGGGGTGAGTGAACAGCACGTGGTACATGCTAAGCTGGACACACATTAGCTGCTTGATCCCTATTAACACTAAGTAGCAGTGACCCGTGAAAAGCTGCATTTGTGAAGTTATAACCTCTCTAGACTGTAGCTATTATGGGGCAACAGCTTTCAGGATGCACTTGAGGATGACATGTTCCAGATACAAGGAGCTCCCCTTGCAAAAGACACCAAGGCACACAAAAGAAGGGATTTTCATATGAATTAGAGTCAGGAGGCTGGAACTCTATGTAAGCCTATCTAACTTTAAGTTCTTACTCTAAAGTTATTGCTTTATCCACCGTGCAAGAAAATGACTATTCCAAAAGTTCACTTACAAGGCAGAGAAAGGTTGGGATATGCAGGGGGGAAAAAAGACTTTCTGGAGCTGACCTGTAGTGGAGGACTATTCAGAGAAGCATGGCTTTTTAAGGGTTTTGATTATTGCTGGTAATAGAAGAGCCATTTTTTTTTCCAATGTGCCAGTCACATGGGTGTGATGAGGGTTAAGGCAGACCATTTACTGTGTGAAGGGATTAATACAATTGCATGATTACATTCAAATTTCTACTTACATGTTTGTTTTAGAATGATGAAGGGAAAAAAGAAGAGGCCACATGCCTAAGGCAAGGTTTGCCACTCAGGGAGCAATGTACCTTTGTGGGAAGAAGGCAAATAGGAGCATGAATGGTTTCATATGACCTTATCAGAGAGCGTGCCTAGGCTGCTAGGGACGGGAGTCACATTTATTTCATCGTGTCCTTTGGCAGGAGGAAGGGAGTGTTCGAGGGAAGGGAATTCAGTGCTGAGTGGAAGGAATCTGTCAAATGTGCAGGAAATGGTGACATTGCTTGGATCCAAAAGAGAGAGCTTAATGTTGCATTCATGGAAAGAGTCATATCAAACAGGCCTGTCTGATACAGCAGTGAGAGGATAACCAGACTTCAGATCAAGACTTGGTGCCTTTTTGGAAAATATGCTTTAGCTAAACTCACGTTACTGGACTCAACACAAGGGTTTCAGAGTGCGATTTAATGGCCTGTGATAGACAAAAGGTCAGTCTAGAGCAGTGGTTCTCAACCTTTTTAGATCTGAGGCACCTCTGGATAGACTCAAGGTCCCCCATGGAAAATGCCAGCTCTTAGTTTTCACTCTTTTTGACTGGAAAAAAAAGTAAAGCTGGTTTTCTGTTGCAAAGAACTCAGAAAGCCCACAGCTATTAGCTATCTCTGGGTTTATCTTGTGAATCATGCTTGCAAACCTAACAGTGCTAACATGCTGTGGCATGTTGCACCACCCTTGAAAGGATCTCAAAGCACCCCACGGTGTTGTGGCATCTTGGTTGAGAATTACTGGTCTAGCATATCAAATGGTTCAGTCTGGCCTTAAGCTCTATGAACAACAAACTACATGTAGCAGGTTGATGGTGTGAAAACTTTTTGAATGTGGTCATGTAGCTGAAGGTGTAGATGAGGAAACTCATGCTCTCATCTAATAAACACAGCTGACATTTCCTTACCTTCTTCTCTGTATTCTACGGTGTAGCCAGAAATGGTACAATTTCCTGTACTGGATGGGGGCATCCAGCGCAGGATCACTGATGTACAGCTTCTTTCCTGAGCGATGGGGCGGTTTGGGGCTGCTGGAACACCTGAAGAAACAAACCAGTGTCCACTTCAGCCACCACTTATTCTTCATTAACTCTTATAAAGGAAAGTCTTGCTAAGAGGCAACTACACATTGTAGACCTGAGAGGAGTTTGGTTAATAGCTGGCCTAATAGTAGTAATTGTTGCATCAAAATGTTGCATCAACTCCTGGTTCATCCTATCAGTTTCCAATACTACTCTACTGCAGAGGCTGGAGAGGAAGGCCAGTTTCCTGCTCTGTTCAAGTATAGACTATCACAATATGGGGTAGTAATGTCTTCTTATTCTCAGCTGGAGATCAGCTTTGCCCTGAAGCCTGAACACCTGATGTCAGTAAACTGGCACAGTGATGTACCATGAAATGTTGACCTCTTATCTTAGAGCCAAGGGGCGCTTGGGGATCTGTAATTTTTAACCTGTAATTCGTAATTTTTAATTGTAAATGCCCTTAGTCTTACCCTTAGTTTCTGCTACAACCTCAGGGCTTGTTCCAAAGCCCATTCAAATCAGTGGAATGATTTCCATGGATTTCAGTGAGCCTTTGAATGGCATTTTGGGATAATGAGTAAGTGCTGACAGTGCAAAAAAGTGACATTGCAGAAGCATGGGGAGGAACCAGAAGGGATCACTGCATTGATTATGCTTGACAATATTTATGCAGTTAATCAGGAGTCGTCACCTCTCTAGCTGAACGCTCCTGAATACAGCAGCCATTAATCTACCCATTGCACTTTTCCAGTGATTCTAGCAAATTCAAACCATCACGGCCCATCGCAAGCACAAACAATTGACTTCTAAATGCTCACAATGCTCATGGTTCTATAAGTCACCCATTATAAATTCATTACACCAATTATAAATTCATTACAGTGGCATCATCTCTGCTGCTGCAAGCATATCGCATTTTTAATGTTAAAATCCCCTTTGCTGGAGCTGGAGGTCATTGGCAATCAGCTCACCATTAGTACTCATTACAGTTACATGGATCCTTAATTACAGCTCTGAGAGAGTTCAGGTTTTGGAGGCATTCCGAAAGTTGAGCTCCTGCAAAAACATTTCATAAGAGCCAGATCCTTCCCTCTTCCTCCAGCGGGGAAAAGCTCTAAGCTCGCTGTCACTAATCATCATACTCCCTTGGTTCAATGTGGGCTCCGAGGGCCAAAGCTTTCTGCATGGAGGGAAGACAGCAATATCTATAGACCCTCTCTACTGATAATTTATAACCTGAAGCAGATAAAACTACCCAGGGATCCCTCCCCATGGAAGCCCCCATGCTCAAGCTTTGCCTAAGGGACACAGTTTGGGCCTGCAAGGTACTGACATCACAGGAAGTGACACTGGCTGTTAAATACGGGAAATTTAAGGGTGGTGGATGTGCGTGAGGCCAACATTTTCATACAGACATTGGCATTGAGTGCTATGAACCTGCTGCTCCCTGCACCTTCAATGGGAATTCTAGCTGAACAAGGGCTGACTTCATTTAGATTTTCATTCATCTGGAATAGCTTGTCCCGTTGAGGTTGCCATGCTGGATACGTGGATTAAAAGTGTGCAAAGTTACAATAAGACATACTACCTTGCACTTTGATTGTAGCGGAGGTGGAAGCCGTTCCGTGCTCATTGGCTGCCACACAGGTGTAAATGCCGCTGTCCTGAGGCATCAGGTTGCAGATCTTCAGGGTGAGCTCCCCAGACTCACTAGAGGTATGAGGAAGGTCACAGTTTACAAGCTGCTTGATTAGTTAATGCTTTCTTACACTGGTTTCTCTTCCAGTGGATTAGCAGAGTAAGGATGTCTCAGAGCAGGGTGGCCAACCCACAGCATGTATGCCACAAGTCATGGATAGGCCCTGCATGTGGTGCATGGCTGATTGAGGAGGAAGCAGGGAAAACGTCAGCAGATTGGGCAGGGAGCAGAAAGCAGAGCAACAGATTGGGCAGCACAAGGGAATCATAGTGGCGTGGCACTCAGGGAGGGCATGGGGCTTAGCTTGTGGCACGCCTGTCAAAAAAGTTGGCCACCACTGTCTTAGAGGGTACAATGGGCACAGACAAAGCAGTACCTGAGGGATATGTATTTAGGATTATTTAGAACTACTGGGTTAAACTAGGGCCTGTGATAAATGTGGTCAAGTTTAGTAGCTTTGCATCCCTTTATACTAGGTATGAATTTGACCTGCTGCATGTAAGCCAAGGCCTTGTACACACTTAAAAGGACTTCAGCTGTATCAGCAAGCCCTTCTGCTGGATATGCAGTTTATTCTGGAAAAGAAATGCTGGTACAGTTGAAATCAACCCTCCAAATGGATGAGGCTGTACTAGCAAAGGATGTTTTTTGCTGGTAGAACTGTTTCGCTTTTGCAGTCATAGCCAAATTGGGTAGGGTGGCGAAAAAAAATCACAACCCTGACCATCAGAACCGTGCTGAGAAATCTTTTCGAGTGTAGGCCTGGCTTAAGGCATCTGTCAGTCTTGTTTGGCACCAGGGACACTCATGGAAAAAGAACCAATGAAGGCAATGAAGCTACATCGTGAGATGAAAGCTAATATATAGGGAAAAACGTCACACAAGGAGTGATCACCCTCCTAACTACCAACAGGAAATCTGCTGATCTACTTGCAGTGATTTACTCGATAAGTGCAAACAGGGCAACATAAAGCATCATAGGGGCAGCTTTTCAAACGGATGGTCTTCCAGGGATCTTGTGATGAGGCAGAGCTTTCTGAGGAATGGGTTCAGTACCATCTCTCTTATTCCTTATTTTTGATTTGCAACTCTTTCTCCAGGTTTCATCTGGACCTTGCCCAAAAGGGCTGAAAAATCTCATAGGAAAAGCTGTTTCCCTTGAAATTTCCTGTTCAGTTTTGAAGACCCAAGTGGGCCAGATAAACTGTAGATGAGCATTTAGATTCAGGTCACTCATCTCAATTGAGCTCAAATTCCAGATCCTGAGAGTTGTGTAGTGCTGATTGTAAAGCTCTCTGCAAAATCAAAAGGTTTTGTCCCTCATCCCTGGTAAACATCTGGCATCATGATGACCTATCTTTCCGTCCAGGAATGGCCAGATGTAGTTTTAATTGGAGACATTTAGTGGTTTGCTTGGAACTGCTGGATGAAATTCTTAGAGCGGCACAAATCGCTACCAGCTCACAGAAATTGGATAGACTCCCATTACATCTCAGTCTGGGGAACCACAGATTCACCTCAAGTTGCAAACTTTGGTTCCCCTACCTCAAGCACAAGTATCACACGGCTACAACCACAGAGTAGGCAGGCCTGGAAAGTCATGCCTTTAATGTTTCTTGTAATCTGGTTGGAACAGTCACCAAGTTTGATGGGAATGCAACTGTCAACAGTCCCAAATACTTTGGGGTCTAACACATGCACTTACCAGGATGACACTGTGTAAGTGGCTGTGCTGTTGTCATTGTCAAGGATATTTTGATCTGGTCCCTTCCAGGTGATGGTTGGCTTTGGGCGTCCACAGACTTTGCACTGCAACATCACCGTGTCCCCCAGCAAACAGGTAACATCCACTAGCGGCACAAGGAATTCAGGAGCCACTAAAGAAAAGCACATGCACACAAGTCCTTTTAACCCAATAGAAGAAGTGTTCCTCCATCCAGGCTGGGTACTAGGGTAATGTCCTTTATAAAGAGACCTTTCCCTTAATTATCCTTTAAAAATCTTTGAACCAGATAAAGGACCTGCCAGGCTTACTGCCTCGAGTTGCTTCCCCCATTCGCCTCACCCCACATTATGCTACTGAGAGCAGGGGATGGGATGTTCCCTTGAGTACATTACTATAATTCAACCGTATGAAGAAGTCCATTTCCGTGGCTACAGCACAGTTGCTAATGAACTCACCTTCTTGGATGAAATTTGGGTTAATTATCTGAAAAATACAAAGAAATAGGCATATTTATTTTTCTCGATGACAAAAGACAGGCATCTTCTTTCATAAGTTCAAGTGGAGAAGCTGACAGGACATTCAGAGGCGCTGTCTAGACAGCACTCAGGATGTTTCTAACAACCAACTCATGGAGGAAGCTTCTGCAGGCGAGTTCTACATAAATCGTGCATATTCAAAAGACTAACGAAAGTAGCAGCTCTTCATTAGTGTTAATTTCATCACAGGTAACAACCTAACTCCCTGAAAACTCCGGCCTGCGTTTTCTGTTATCATCACATATGTGGCCGTGATCTTCCTAGTCTTCATTCCTTTATTTCCACAATCATGTGATACATTGCGTCCCCATGTAGTCTACTCCTGCCTCCTTGGCCATCTCCCCTGCCCTCTGTCTCTCCACTAACCCTTCTTGGATATGTCTTTTAACCGCCAAGTACATTCAGTCAAAAGAAAAAAATGCCACAAAGCTGCTCACTTCCTTTCTTCAGCTATGCCACATGCCTTCCCTTTGCCCTATATGAAAGAGTGCAAACCCCAGTGCAGGCAAATTCCAGTCTAATATCATGATCCATCATAACTAAAAAACATTTATTTCCACGGATTGCTAGAGTTACACCCAGTCCTCATCTCTTGAGGGTTATCCTTTGCAGTTATGCAATGTAGCATAGAAATCATTTGAAAAACAACTGCCGTTCAGTGGTAACTAAGACAACTTGACCTTTTATCTTAAAGCTGTAAAACTCCCCAAATAGTCTATTTTATATAAGTTTCTCTGAAGTTTATCTTTGAAGTTCCAGCCCTATTTTTCTTGATAGTACAGAGTGGGATGATTATTTTACTGGCCCCAGTTTGTGGCTTCATCACCCAAATTCATGTCCTTGCATTGTGACCAAACACCACGCAGCCCAACATGCTTTCCCCCTCTTATCTCTCTCTGTGGAGGGGGCTGGCAATGTTTTTGGCCTGAGTGCCAAAAACAACCCAACCCAGACCCATGCCTCAACTTGGCGTGCCCAAGGCAGAGGGTGGGGGAGCCCCGATGGGCCTGATTCTTGCAGCTGGCAGCGGGTGCATGCATACCCCTGGGCGGGTGGTGGTGGAGGGGCTGGGCTTGTGCTGCCCCAGCCCCTTCTCAGCCATGGGCCTCGAGGAACACATGCACCCGCCGCTGCTAAGGGGCTGGTGCCAGGGCCTTGGACCCCAGTGCAGCTGTCTACAGCCTGCCCACCATCTCCTGCAGCTGCTCAGCACCTGGGCCAGCTGTGGCAGGCAGCTGGGAGGCTGCAAACAGCTGCACTGGGCTCCGGAGCCCTGGCCGGGCTTTGTGGCGGTGGTGGCTTCATGCGTGCCTCAGGGTGCACAGCGGGGAAGGGGCCTGGGGCAGCACAACTCTGGTCCCTCCCTTGCCGTCTGCCTAGAGGTGCTTGTGCAGCTGCCGCTGCCACAGAGCCCGGCACAGCTGTTTGCAGCCTCCCAGCTGCCTGCCACAACTGGCCTGGGTTCTGGGCAGAGCACTGGCTGCTTGTTGCAGGGCGTGCAGCCCCTCAGCTGCTGGCTGTGAGCAGGCTGGGCTCTGTGGCTGGTGGCAGCTGCCCAGAGTTAGAGCTGCCTGTGGTGTGCTGAGCAAAATGGGCTTGCATGCCGTGCTCTGCCCTGCTCAATGGGCATTTACTTTAATGGACTGTGAATCAGGCCCCCAAGAGCACGTGTAGTGGTTAGGAATAAACTTTTGAAATGAAATGAAAATAGCTTTCCATAGCACAGATGAGCCATGCACTGAAAGACGTGTCCAGTGCAGGAAAATGCTGACCTTTGAGCTATATTCTGCCTGATAATACTCATACCCACAACCCCAGAAACAGCAGAGATATGAGAATGTGCTGACTGCTGGACCTGGCCCATGCTAGAAGGTGATGAAGAGGATGCTCTGAAGGTCCCCTTCAATATACAGCATAGCAAGGTGCAACTGCAGGTGGTACAGGGAAAAGAAACAGACATGGCCTCTAGGTAGAGATATGCTGTTATGTTCACCCAGGGCACTCATAAATAAATGACCCCCAGCTGCGAGGCTGGGAAAGATCACTGCCACACTGCCAGGCACACCATATATTGTAAATGATGTAAAACTATACATTCATTGGCATGAGCAGACTGAACAGACAGTAACTTTGGATTCACACGTGCTTATTCACCACATTCACATACCTCACACGTACGCCTGCTCCTACAGCTCTCCAGGCGATAAGTCCAGCTCTTGGAGGCTGTGGAGCATTAGCTGCCTGTCTTCGCAACCACAGAAAGTGGGAGGGGAGCCTACCCAGGCTGGTCTCAGGCAGACAAATTTGAGATCTGAGATATTTTACTGCCTGGTAATAGCCAGAACATAGCCCTTTAGGATAGGTCTCAAAAGAAATTAGGATTTACCACCCTGGATGAGATGATCGATCTTTCCAAGCCAGCACTCCCAAAGTGGTCAACATCTGTACATCTACACCCTTGTACATCTGCACTAACTGCATGCCACACCCAGGAGCACCATTATATCCATTCATTCCTGCCAAACCCAGGGCGGGAAGCAGCCCTAAGCATGTGCCAATAAACACGCCCAAGGCAAAAAGCCTTGGAGCAGGACTCTCAATGTGGCCCCATGGAAGTACATTGCCTCTTTGGAGGGAGTTGGCTTGCACAGATTGAGAGTGAGTGGGTGGGCAAGGCAGGCTTCATGGCTGGGCTCTTGGCACAACAGAGAGTTAGAGACAAGTCCCAAGTGATGCTCTGGGGCAAAGTCCACAATACATTCCCTCGTGGTGCAGCTGACCGGCCGTGCCCTCATGTCTGGGGGTGGATGCACACTTCTATGACTCCCTGATGTTGCAAGTACAAAGGAGATCACTAACCTTTCATTCCTGGGATCTTTATAAAAAACAAAAACACCTTCCTCATCCAAGGAGTCTTTGAGGATTTTTTTTTCCCAAGCCCAGTTTAGATGTTACTGTGAAAAAAAGTCTCAAATCAAATACACGTTAAATAAAGATCACTCATCTCCCCAAAATGCATGGCCATCCCTTCTGCTGGTAATCACCATCAGCTGGAGTATGCATGCATCAACGTGCTTTGTTGCCATCCATGCCATTTGAATTAGATATGGACAGCTGCTGGTTTGAATGCAAGTGCTTTGTCTTCATGCACTTAAAAAGGCAGGAAAGCAGATGGAATATCCTGGACATTTCTATAGGAAACATCTGAAGAGCAGGTCAATCAGAAAAAATAATCATAGCACCTTTCACCCTTGACGGATCTGCTCCCGGTTCTACTGAGAAGCAGAGCTGCTGACTGCAGTGGTGAAACCTCTATGATTTTTTTTCCCTCCCCTTTAGGCTTGGGTGCAGGAACTGGGTTCTTTTCCTTTTTGGGTATCGTTAACTAACTGTTTAACTAAAACAGCTGGAGCCTTGCACAGATGTCACAGAGGGTATAACTTGGCAGGCAAATCATCAGTACCAGCAGCAATACATGAGAAAGTAAAGGCACCTTCTTGGTGTTCAGATGCTAGGTGAGGTCTGCAGCTCTTACAGTTAGAGAGAGGTAGGGGGGACCTAGAAGATCTTTTTACTTGTGCACTGAGAAGATCTGATCTGGACCCACAGAGACAAGGGTGCCCTTAAAGTAACTTTCAAAGCTGAATCACAGCTTATAACAGTTATTCACAGATGTTCCTGGAAAGAAAAGACGACCCTCCGTGCATATTTGGCAATCTCAGACGGCCGCAGGGAGGAAGCACAGAGGAGCAGCTGGTTTTACCGTGTCAGAACCAGCCAGTTCTCTGTGCAAAGAGCCGAATTCAAAGCTTACTGACGTCAGGGGAATCGAGAGAAGTTGCAGTGCAAGTCTGAACCGAAGAATGATATGTTACCTCGCTGATCCCGGTGTGGGTTAATATTGGACTTGGGCTGTATGCTTGATTGTCCTTCTGGAACGGGGTCATGGGCACAGCTGTGAGCAATTAGTAGTAGGTAAGAGGGTCCAGCAGAGAGAGCCATGCTACCTCTGAAGAACTGATGGGGGTGGACTTGCTTGGACTGACTTAGCAGCACTTGAAAGCAAGCCCTAGGAGCCAACATCTGAGTTATTCCTTCCAAGGCGCCGCATGTTCCCAGCAGCTTGTGAAGTCTTGCCCCACCTCTAGGAAAGGAGATTGCAGCAGGCCTCCAGGGTAGAAAAACCCTTGCTCTTCCTGGAGTGCCGTCTTGTTCAGCTGGTTTTTAGGTAGGACAAGGAGATAAGCCACTCAAGCCTTCCAACTCCCAGGTCCTGATTTTTGCTGCCCTTGTAGGGGTTCCCAGCTGGATGTCTCCGTCTTCCACTCTCACTAGCCTTTCCACAGAGCGGTGGGAGTGGGGGGAAGACTGCTTCAGGCTGCACCTCTATAGAGGCAGTACCACCCTCACCCCATGGCCTCCTTCACCCTACGAAAGCTGCAATGGGGTCACTTGGCCCCTATCTCTATGCTGGGTGGGTGTGAGGGCTGTGGGCAGGACTTTAACAATGAGGAGAAAAGGAAGAGGAGGTGGATAGGATGGATCTTGGAACATCAACATCTAGACTAATGGCCAAGCACCTGTGGCTGGCGTGAGGGCCCAAGCAATGTGAAGTCTCAGGAGAGAGGCAGAACTGCCCAGAGAAAAGCATGGGAGATGAGGAGAGGGCAGGTCAGTAGTGTAATATGATGGGGGGAAGGGGATCGCACCAGCTCAGGGCACCTATTCAGAAGAGGAGCTGGAACGGCCATCCTCAGGGACCCTGTGCCACTGCTGTCACAACAGCCTGGGACTGGGAAGTAGTGCTAAGGCAGCACCAGCTTACACTACAGCCACACCTCTACCAGCCCCACATGACGTAAGTCTTTACTTCGCCCAGTCTGGGGTGCCAACATTTTAAACTACTCCTCTGGGGTGGCCAAGGGCAAGGACCCTCTTCCCTTCTAA